ACTGTCCAGAACGATAGTGATGACGCACACCAAACTTCAAACGCCACGACATAAACATCATGGCGTTTGGGGACGTGTTGGTTTGATGCCCACCCCATGTGTTCACCCGCACAGGCATGTGTGTACGCCATGAGAGGTACGTTAATGTAGGTATGCTGATATTGCCCTCTGGCAAGTCTAATAGGTATAGGTCGGCATGTGTAGGTTCTTGGATCCGCGCATGTGTCTGTGTATACGTACGCGCGCGTTGTACGCATCACAGTGTCAGTGTGACGCGTGGCTCGCAGAACCCGAGGGCTCCCCCCGACGGGGGTGGTGGATTGGCTGTGACGCGCAGCGCCGTGCCCGCAATATTGGAGAGGGAATTGCAATTAGTGTTGCAATATCGGTGCCCTCACCTCTCTGTTGTAGGAGCTCTCGCCTTTTAGGTTGAGTGTTTCGCGAGACGCGTAACTTTCCCTCATCAATGGCATCTTCATCACCAGACCGTCGAAGGTTGTTAAGGAGATGAGAGCAGCAACCGTTGTTGGAGCAAAGAGATCGGCTTGTCCGTCAGGAAGCTGGGATTTCAGCTGGAGCGGCGCGCTGCTTGCTTGAACTCCTGCCTCTGGATGTGTTTCCCGCCTCCCGCAGCGAGCAGCTTGCCTATCTCAATTATATCGGCTCTCGGGTATGCCTCTCTTCACTACGGGCGGTCGCACGCAGTTCGAGCAGCCCGTCTTGCACAGAGAAACGCCCCCCTCTCGTCACCACAGGCGGGCGCAGTTTGACGCAGTTGTCCAGGACGGTATTTGGGAGGCTCCGTGGAGCCGTGTTAGCCAATGCAGCTCATCAGCATACCCAGGGGCTACGTGCACCGACGTGCGCAGACACCGCTATGGTGTGGCCTCCGTATGTGTCTGACCTGCTCAATGAGTCTGGGGAGAGATTTGCAGGAAAGCCACGGAACGGAGTGATACAGTCAAAAACCTTAGTAAGCATTTGCGACTTTGCTCAGGGTACCCTTTGCTCAGGGTACCCTTGCGTCCTTATTCGGGTTTTTGACTGTAAGGGTGAGGATGCTTACACCCTTGTGACAAACCTCGCGCAGCTATGCTTAAACCGGATTGCCATTTCCCACTTCCTGGACCTCCGATCTCAAGGTTGAGTCGGTCGCGGTCGACGGCGGAAACATCGAATCGCGCGGCGCTCCACAGGAACATTGATTTGAGGGGCGCGGGGAGACGGATCGCACGCGGGAGTTGCATGTTGATTCCAGGGCAGTGCGGGACCAAGGCAAGCAGAGCGTGGAAGGCACCAGGATTGCAATGGTGACGACTTGAATTGTGATGGTGATAGTTTTGATGATGATGATGATGATGATGCTGATGCTGATGATGATGATGCTGATGATGATGATGATCTGATGATGATGATGCTGATGATGATGATGATGATGTTAGTATTGTTGCGGGGGATGAGTTTGGTTATGCTACTGATAAGGTTGATGGTGATGCTGATGAGGATGCTGCTGATGATGATGATGGTGATGATGACGGTGGTGGTGGTGATGATGAGGATGCTGACGATGATGATGTTGCTGATGATGATGATGATGATGATGATGATGATGATGATGGAGTTGTGGATGATGGTGAGAGTTCGGATATTTGCCACGTTCGTTGACACACGACGATTGCGATTACAAGTGCGACCAAACATGCTGTCGCGGACCATGGCGAGCAAGTTCGGGAACAGCATGTGAGCAATCGGACAGCACTCGCAGCAGCAGCGCTGCTGGTGGCGGGCCCAGGAGAGCCACCGCGCGCAGGCTGATCCACAGGGCGCGTGGGGAGACCCACCGCGGGTCGGTCTTTGATAGCCTTGGTGCCCAGGGACGGCCCCTGGAGGCCCAGGTTGTGAGCAGAAGTCGCCGCCGTCGCTCTTTTGTACCGCTGGATGTCTGGGTCTCGCCCCTGAGGATTGACCTCCAGACTTCACCAGGGGCTCGTTCGGAGCAGAATTCCGAAGGAGATCCATCCGTGGCAACAGGCGCGCTCCTGGAAGGCCCAAAAGAGGGTACAACAAGTCTTCGAACCTTCCCCTCGAATATAGATTCTCGAGACTCGATCCTCGAGGAGCGATGGAAATCAGCCTTGTGAAGGACCCAATCATGTGCGGCTGTGAGGATTGTCTCCGGTGGAACTACTCATGGGGCCACAACGTGTGAGGGGCGTGCCGATGTGGACCTTCTCTCCACCCTCCTGACCCTCGTCCTCCTCATCCTCATGACGATCATCGTCATCATCCTCGTCCTGCCTTCTCGTCCTCCTCCTCCTCTTCCTCCTCCGCTTCCTCCGCGTCCGCAGTCATCCTCATTACTGTCGTCGTCCTCATCCTCATTTTGGTCGTCGTCCTCAACGCTGTCCCGCCTCCTCATCGTCCTCCTGCTTCTCGTCCTCGCCCCCCTCCTGCCACTCGTTCTCCTCGTCTCCTCATGGTGATCGCCCTCCTCCTCCTC